ATTCGAGCCAAAGTATTTAAGCCCTCAAACAATTTTCTGCTACATGTGATTGAGCCAACTCACGTGCTTTCAAAAGATGATTATACCTACAAAGAACGACCAATTCAGATTGTCAACCGAAGGATCAAAAAGCAATGAAACAAAGAAATCCCGCTTCTAAAGGTGGATTGGAATAATCATGGGGGAACCTATGCAACTTGGGAAACAGAAGAAGACGTGATGAAAAGATATCCCTAGTTGTTTCCTTTAAATCCGGTGTTTTTTCAAAATGAAGGTAGTTCGAGTTTGGAGGACCAAACTCTTTTAAGGAGGGAAGCCTGTAACAACCCCGACCTATGAGTAACACTAATCCATGTTTAAGTATGCCAAATAAGTAATTAAGAAGAAATCTCAAGTCAATTATATGTGCATTGCATCATTTTGTATTTATATCTGTTTGAAATAGAAAGATCTGTTCATGTTTTAGTTTTAATTTGCGAATTAAAAGCCTTATCAGTATCCGACTAAGAAATTGACTTGATTTATATGTTAATTAGGATTTATAGGATTTTATGGTAAGTTTAATTAAAAGTCAATTTGGAACGATTAAATTAGTATAATTAATGTCCTTTTATTTGGCTTTAAATTAATTACACTTTTGTCCAAATCTAATTAAGGCATTAGTGGACTTCTTTGAACACCAAACACTCCCAAATTCATTCCTTTGATGATACAAATGTGAGAGTGAGGGAGAGAAGGGAGAATTGGTCCAAGCCTTGAGAATTTGAATTCAAAGCCAAGGATTGCTAGAATTGTTGTCGAGTGAAGAAGATTAGAGGGTTTCAACTTCAACTGTTGTAGATTCAAGTCTCTAGGCAAGGAATTAAACCCTTAATTGAGCAATTGAATTAGATTCTACAAGATTATTAGTGAATTAAGTGAATTCATGTAGGAATTGCACAAAAATTGGGTGGATTTGGGCCATACCATGCATGCATGTTCATTTCTTCACAAATTGAGGATGTTTTCAAAGAATCATTTCACTTACGTGTTCATTTCACTTACATTTTGGTTATTCACCATGTTTTCTATCCAATTGTCAAGTTTGATCATGTTTTGAAGAGGTTGAGTTCAAGAAAATTCTTGCATGTTGTATTCTTGAAACATTCATAAAGTTTATGTTGGAATTTTGTTCAATTGGCGTGCTTTTGGGCCTTGATTTCATGAAATGATCTTTAAACCATGATGTTTTGTAAGTTTCTAAATATTTTCTACAATTTTGGCCCAAGAGGATGAGTTTTGAGGTGTTAGATTCATGTTTTGAAGCTTGGGAGCAAATCTGGAAAACCTAAAATTTTGCTTCCACGCTCGAGTGAAGGACTCTACGCTCAAGCGACCGCCTTATTTTCATATTCCCGCTTGAGCGACAAAAGGCTGGCTTGAGCGTAAATTGCAAGCTCTCAGCAATTTGCATGTTTGGATACACGCTCGAGCGACAAGACTTACGCTCGAGCGAGGAACTGTGTTTCACACTCAAGAGAGCGTCGAGCGATGATTTCATGCAACCAGAACTTTTTCACATTTTACAGACCGCTCGAGCGACCACTCACTTTTGGCATGACCGCTCAAGCGAAGAAAGCCACGCTCGAGCGAGACCACTGTTTTAGCAAAATTTTGGCTAAGTGTTTCAAGTACATTTGAGCATCCTCATTCCATCCTAGGCATTCCTAGGCCATGTTTAAGACTCCATAATGAGGTTAAAGGCTAGAGACACACTAAGAACAACGAAATAAGTTATACTCAACCAACCATGTATATTCAACGTATGTATCTATCATGTTATGTAGGTCATGCGCTCCAAGATAAGTGAATTGCCCACTTCGCCGTCTATTCGGAGCAACCAGTTATTTGTGAATAATAACTTTGTAAAGTTATGTTCAATGTTAAATATTTTTTGAACATTATGATATGAAATGACTAGTTTTTGAAATGCTATGCTATGTTTGAAAGGAATGAATGATTGTCCAAAATTATAAAAGTTATCCATGGCATCACTAACATCATGTAATATGCGTCCCTTTATGGGTCATCAGGTCCCTTATATGGGTCATCAGAAACGTCACTATGCACATGAGTCATCAGAAAGCCTTCATGGCAGTCCCTTGCGGGTCATCAGATTTGTTAATACTAATGGATATGCCACGTACCATGATATGTTGTATGTTTAAGTTCTGAATAGAAATGCAATCATGCCAATGAATCTGCTATGTTATGACACTCGAACACGTACAAGATTATGTTTCTGTACGGACATCATTCAGTAAAACCTTTACTCTGTTATTATTTACTGGGCAATCGCTCACTATTTATATTATGTATGTAGGTGAGCAGGTACGCGACCAGGCCTATAGTTGACGGCCTAAGCTTCAGTCTTGTCAGCCAACCTTTGTACCTCCCGAGGAGGTTCCGATTGAAGTCAAGTTTCATGGCTGTTTTTGTAATCACTTTAAGCTATGTTTGCACTATGTTGCGTTGGTTAAGATGTCTGTTAATGTGTATTCTGAAGTGATGTGTAAAGTTTGCATCTCTGTTATAAAAAGTTTTAAGTTATCTGACCCATGTATATCTGCACAGCTCTGTGGACTATATATGTCTTAAATATTTACTTCCGCAGCCCCTCCTATATGTTATTATGCCAAGAGGCCTTTGGTAATCCAAGGATTACTGACCGGTTACGATGCTAAACCTATGGGGGTGGGTTTAGGTCGTGACAGGAAGCAAGCCCTCTGTTAAACATTTCCATTGTAGTGATGTATGCCAATTGTTTGATGAAAGTCCCCATAGAGAAATTATCCTGAATTTTTATGTTTTGGTTGATGAAAGTCCTAATGCATGGCAATTGTTTTGGTTGATGAAATTATCCCCATAGATTCTGATGCATGCCAATTATTTTCGAACAAATAAGTAAATAAATTTAACCAAAGTCAGATTGTGACCAACCTATATAATGTCATTGAGTTTACAATCCCAATTGAGTTATTTAGCAAGAACAAATGGTATTTAAAGTCCCCCTCTGTTAAATTTTTATTTTTTATTTTTAAACTAATCTCTATAGAAACTAAGTAATTTTGTGATTAGTCATACTAATTTAGTGACAAGATGCTAATCTTTCTTGATTTAGCAAGAACACTTAAATTATGTTTGAATTAACTAATTTTGACATTTAGGGTAATGTTTGAATTCAAACACTAATTTCAGTGTTTGAATTAACTAATCTTATTACTATACATTAGCTAATTCAAATAATCTCAGTGTTTGAATTTAGGTGTTTGTACAGTGTTCTCATTAGTTAACTAATCTCAATGTAAGAATTAACTCAACTCATTACTGAGATCAGTATTCTCATTTGTTAACTGAGATCAACTCATTACTGAGATTATCTCAGTGTAAGAATTAACTCATTACTGAGATCAATGTGTTGAATTAATCTCAGTGTTCTCATCAATTGCTGTACATCACTGTTTGAAAACTTGAAAATCATTTACCATCTAAGAACTTGAAAATCATTGTAAACCATTTGTTTGATAAGACATAGAACTTTGATGGACATTAAAACAAATGGTATTAATTAACCTTGAAATGAAATATCCCTATCCAATATGAAAATCTATGTGGTTACTGGTTAAGTTGGAGAACCTTAGAAAAATAGAAATGCACTTGCATGCACTTACACTTTATTTTCTATTTGGTTTGAAGCTACACGAACTACACATTTCAATGGACATTGATTCAAACAATCCTTCATTGAATGAGAGTGAGGAAGTTAAAGAAGCGGAGAACAATCCGTCATTAAATGAGATTGGTGAAGTTGAAGAACCTAAGAACGGCATGTGTTTTAGCTCAAACCAAGAAGTATATTCATTTTATGCAAAATATGCGAAGCACCTCGGATTTCCTGTAGCTTATAGAACACAAAATATTGGACAAGATGGGGAAGTAAAATATTTTGGAATTGAATGTACTTGGGCACGCAAGAGAACAAAATAATCAGAAGCACACCCTCTGCGAACCATCTTTGTCATCATTCATTGAATGTAAAGCAAAGGTTAGAGTAACTCTACAAAAGGATGAAAGATTTAAGTTGACCACAGTTGTGCTTGAACATACGAATGACTTGATTCCTAGTGACTTACGACATTTTGCAATGAATAAGAGAAATCTTACCCCTGTGAAGAGAAGACTAGAAATAAATGATGAAGCAGGGATAGGGGTGGCTAGAAATTTTCATTCTATAGTTGTTGAAGCAGGGGGGTATGAGACATTAACATTTGATGAACGAGATGCAAGGAATCATATTCAGAGTATGAGAAGATTGAGGCTTGGGGTAGGAGATGCTGAATTAGTTGCACTTTATTTTCATAGGATGCAACAACAAAATTCAAACTTTTATTCTACAATTGACCTCGATGAAAACGGTTGCATGCAAGAACTAGGACAACTTATATAAAGCATTTGGGGATGTGGTTTCATTTGACATAACTTATCTCACAAACAAATATGTTATGCCATTTGCTCCGTTTGTAGGAGTTAATCACCATGGGCAGTCAATTTTGCTTGGTTGTGGGCTGTTATCTAATGAGAACACTGAAACATTTGTGTGGCTATTCAGAGAATGGTTAAGTTGCATGTTTGATGTTCCTCCAAAAGCTATAATAACAAACCAGTGTAGAGCTATGCAAAATGCCATTGAAGTTGTCTTTCCACAAGCTTGACATCGTTGGTGCTTATGGCATATAATGAAGAAAATTTCAGAGAAATTAAGAGGATATGCCCAATATGAATCCATCAAGTTTGCTTTGCAAAATGTAGTTTATGATTGTTTTACAAAAGATAAATTTGATAAAGAATGGCAAGCGATGATTGCAAAGTTCAAGCTAGATGATAATGAGTGGTTGGGGATATTATACAGTGAGTGACATAGGTGGATTCCTGCCTATGTGAAGGACGTTTTTTGGGCTGGCATGTCGACTACACAACGAAGTGAGAATATAAATGCGTTTTTTGATGGATATGTGAACTCAAAGACATCTTTAAAGCAATTTGTTGAACAATATGATAATGCTTTGAAAAGTAAGGTTGAGAAAGAGATGAAAGCAGACTTTAAATCTCGAAACAAATTGTATGATTGCTTAACGGTATATGAGTTTGAGAAGCAATTTCATGCAGCCTACATGAATGTAAAATTTAAAAAAGTACAAGTAGAATTGAAGCGACTATTGTATTGTCGTGCGAATCTTGTCAAAGAGGAGGGAGCAATTTGTACTTATCATGTGAAGGAGGTTGTTCTTGTTGGTGAGAAAATGAAGACTGTGGAATTTGTTGTGTACTTTAATGCAAGTGAATGTGAATTGCATTGTATGTGTCGGTGGTTTGAGTTTAGGGGCATTATGTGTGCCCATGCAATTACTGTGCTACTTGAGAGGTGTATATATCAAGTGCCAGATAAATACATTGTATCAAGATGGAGAAAAAATATCGAAAGAGGGTACACATGCATTCCAACCGCATACACTAAAGCCGGGGATATTCTTAATGCAAAGTTGTATGATAAATACCACAAGATGTTGGTTGAAATCATAGAAATTGCTGCCAACGATGATGGTAAACACGAAGTGCTTGATCTTGGGTTGATAAAAATCAAGGATAAAGTGAGAAAAGATCAATCAGGTAGTGCGAGTCATGTACCACTTTCTGCTAGTAATGTACCACATTCTTATAGTTCGCTGAAAAGTCCGTCTGCTCGTAGTACTACAAAAGCAAGCATGTCTCGCAGGATGCTTAGTCCTATGGTTGCTCGTCGAAGAGGACATCCATGTACCAAGCGGAAGGTTAGCAAAGTGGATGAAATAGTGAATCGGTTGAAGAGAAAGAGTAAAAAGCCTCCAAAAACACAGGTAAGTTCTTTTCTTGTGTGTGATATAGAAATTGTTGAATGTATTTAAGATAAATTATTCACCAATATGTTTGTGTCTTACTAAAGGGACGTACGATTCCTCAATGTCAGCCTCGGAAGTTAAATTTTCCTGGTACAGATGATATGCAATACAATACTTATCATGACCCGGTATGTATTTGAATTTTTATGTTGTTGGTTGTTTTTTTATTTTAATGTCTTTTATGTATAATAAAATTGTGTTACTATGATCATAAGGCGACGCAAACTGCACCTTACTATTTTCCTTGCATGGATGGCACGCAACAGAGTATGTATGTACCGGTATGTGTTCAATGTCTAAAATAAAATATTTGTTCTTGTTTTAATTGTTATATATGTTGAATGGACAATATTTGTAAAGTGTATTTGTTTATTGAATAAGCACAATTTAGTCAAATGCAAACGGTGGACAATATTGGAAGCACATCTCATACTCAATTAGGAATGGTGAACAACATCAGCAGTCAAAGTTTGACAATCGCTTCAAATTTTGTTCACTTCAATGTAGATGTGGATCCAAATGTCCTTTTTTTTTTTTTACTTTCGCATTAGTACTTTGTATTTTTTTTTTTTTTTTTTTTTTTTTTTTTTTTTTTTTTTTTTTTTTTGTGGAATGCTCTTGAGATGAGTTTGTTTGTAGAACACTATGAATGATGTTGAATGATGTTTAACTATAAAATTAAATGGGGTAGATTGATGGTTAACTATGAATGATGTTGAATGATGTTGAATGATGTTCAATGAGGCAGATTGATGGTTAATTATGAATGATGTTGAATGATGTTGAATGGGGCAGATTAATGGTCATATTAACTGTTGCTATGATTTTTAGGGTCATATTTTCAAACTGTTATATGACTGTTGCTATGACTGTTCACTTCAATCTGTTTTTCTTTGAATCTGCCACATTTTCAAACTAATGCTTCAGGTCCATCTCATGATCCTTTCCTACTTCCATTTGCTCCTAGAACCTTCTCTATGAATCCGCCACATTTTCAATCTATTTCTCTATGAATCTGCCACATTTCAATCTGTTTCTCTTTGAATCTACCACATTTTCAATCTATTTCTCTTTGAATCTGCCACATTTTCAATCTATAATGAATGGCATTGGCACGGACAAAGGAATAGGACAGTTCAGCAAGTTATGGTTCTTACCCTTGCTTCTTTTGTGCTTGATATTACAAAGGAAGATGCAGTTATTTAGGTTCCTACTCCTAATGGTTCCTATACTATGAGGAGATCTGAAGTTATCTGGCATGATATTGTTTGGTTTAGAGGACTGGTTTCTAAATGGTCCTTTATTCTATGGTTGGTTTGTCAGCATAGGCTAACTACTAAGGATAGAATGTTGCAATGGGGAATGCAAGTTGAACCCCTTTGTGTGCTATGTAATGCAGTTCAGGAAAGCCATAAGCATGTGTTTTTTAATGTGTTTTTAGCTAGTGTATATGGGATAGTGTGTTAAAGATTTATCAAACCAATAGAGGTGTTTTGGATTGGAGTGAGGAAATTCAGTGGCGTATGGTGCAATATTCAGGCAAGTCCGTGCAAAGTATGGCTCTTTATCTGTCTTTGTCTTGTGCAGTTTACCACATTTGGATTAAAAGAATATCAGAGCTAAAATTTGTTCTTTGAAGAATATTAGAAGAACTTTTCTTAATTGATTAGAAGAATGTTATAAGAACTTTTCCACTCATCCATAATAAAATTACATCCATAATAAAATTAACATGTCCATTACATCCATTCAAACACTAACATTCAACATGTCCATTAAAACCATAATTACATTCATCAAATTTCCCAAAAACTAACAGTCAAGCATTTCAATTCTTACATAATAAAGTACAAAACGATACACACTACAATTACATAAATCATAGAGTTGAATTTGTTGTCCATTCTTTGAAGCCTTCTACCATGGTCATGTATTTCATTTTCCATCTCAAAAAGCCTTACCCTAACATCATTCAATTCTTCTGTCCAGATAGATTTACGAGGTCTACTATTGGAATGGATTGTCGAGGTAACGTCCCCATCATCATCGTCCGCAAACTTGAAGTAATCACAGTGTTCTTTGTTACTCTTACTCTACAATGCATAACAATCAATTATTTAATTTACACAAATAATTTTCGAAATACTACAAGTTTAATTTCATAACACATACTTACATATTTGGATGGGCAAACAAAAAAGAGACGCCCTTGATTTCCATTCTCATTGGTTCGTACAATATACATTGCAGCTGTTTTCCCACAATCACACATTCTTGGTCTTAATCTAATGTTGTTGTCGTTAGTAGAAGAAGGAGCCATTTTTAATCTGCATAAACAAAATTCATAAAATTTGAATATTAATTTCAAACTATGTTTTCATATTTCATGTCTTTAATGCTCTATGATATTCACCGGACAAATGTCTTATACATTCAAAATTGAGATTTTATGGCAGTGAGTTTTTACAAAGTACATTTTCAGGAAAACTCACAACTTAAATCACTTAATAAGACACTTAACATATACATTCAAAATTGTTAAGTGTCTTATACATTCAAATTAAGTGTTCCATTTTCAGTAAAAATGCATAACCTAAATCACACCAACAAACACCCAACTTAGATCAACAGTTACACTATTAACAATTTCTATGTGGACTTTCATCAAAAATAAATTTTCTATGTAGACTTTCTGAAAGATGGCTTCTTGATTTTTTCTTGTTAAACATTCACAAATAAAACATATGTTAAACATAATTCTGGCTTCTTCATTTTTCCAAATGAAACATTCACAAATAAAACCCATGTTAAACATAATTCTAGCTTCTTGATTTTCCTTGTTAAACATTAACAAATAAAATAGATGCCGAATCAGTTGCTTCTTGATTTTTCCTTGTCAAACATTCACAAATAATACCTATGTTAAACATAATTATGGCTTCTTGATTTTCCTTGTTAAGCATTCACAAATAAAATTGATGTTTCTTGATTTTTCCTTGTTACACATTCAGAAATTGATTTTTCCTTGTTAAATATTCAGAAATTCCCTTCCTGTTTTAATCTAATAGAAGAGGTTTACACAGAGTCTCACTACAAAATAACCACAATTTTTTTTTTACAGAATGATTGGAACAAAATTAGTTGGGGACTTTCATCAAAACAGGAAGGGAATTTCTGTAATGAACAAAATCAGTTGGGGACTTTCATCAAACACTTGGAATGCATCAATATAATGGAAGATGTTTAACCGAGGGTCTGATTCCAGAACAACCAAATGATTTTTTTTTTAACAGACATGAAGTCACGCAATTCGGCATATCCATTGTTCCTCTCACAAATGCATCTCAAATAAATAAATAAATAAATAAACACAACAACAACAAACAGAACAATAACTTACTTCACAAGCTGCAAGTGTAGGGCAAAATACAAAACCCTCAATCATCAAACCCTAGTTTTTTTAGTTTACAGAGTTTACCTGAGATTGGGAGGATAGAGGAGGTGACAGAACAACTTCTTTCCAGCGTCGTTTCGGAGGAGATAGATTCGAATGATTCGGAAGAACGATGACAAACAGAGCAATAGAGAGAGAGTTAAAGAGTTTGGGTATGAGAACAAAAATGAGGACTTCGGGTGAGATAGTTTGGGTATGAGAAGAAGAAAAATGAAGACAGAGGGCGAGATAGGCACATGAGCTCATGCTTTCGGGCCATTCGAGCCAAAGTATTTAAGCCCTCAAACAATTTTCATACATTAATATTAATTTATTTTCATTCCCTCTTTCAGTATACATAATTTTTTTATTCAACTAGAAGCGAACACAAAATAAGGACCTTAAGCAATACTACAAAAGACAAAGATAGAAGAACCTTTTCCATCCAAACACACAAATGTCTCCAAGTCCATCGCCATGCGAGTAAGGTTGCAAGCAAACACATTCCTTTTGCAAGTAACATCCATAACCTCAACTTTACAAAATGATTTAAGCGAAGCCGAGAATTGATGTAAAAGAAGAGCATTATATGATTGCATGACTTTAATAATTTCTAGGGAATCTTATTCCAATTGAATGTCACAAAGACCTAGCTCCCCTACAAAAATCATAACTTTGAGAGTTGCCAAGGCCTTCATACTATCCACGTCCCCACGAACCCCACTTTCTCAGACATAGCAACAATCCCTTACCCCTGATTATTACAAATAACTACTCTAACCTTCATGATGCCGCATGTCGAATAAAGCTTTTTTAAAATTGATTTTGAATAGGCCCCTAGAGAAGGGAAGCCATTTGATAGTATTAATAATTTTGATAAAACCCTTATTCAATGTTGAGTACTAACAGATTCCTGTAAGTAGCAACACACAAAGCTTGACACCTCTAGTATATATAGACTTCTCATTCTAAGTGAAGATAACCACATTTATGTTATTCCACAATGACCAATAGACCACAAAGAATCGATCAAACTTTGAAGAGTCGACGTGGTTGCTCAGCTCCAAAACCCATCCAAAGTCTCCCCCACTAGTGGTATTCTTTAAATGGACCTGAAAGGACTCGAGAACCAAACTTGCACAAAAAAGATACAGTCATGAAAACAATGAGCTGAGCGAAAAAGATACAGTCATGTGTTCGACTTTAGAATTCTTTGATTTGAGAGAAAGATTATTTTCTAGACATGTTGATTCACCAAGAATACAAAAAAATTAGAATAAAAGAACATAATTAGCTTGTTTTGACGTAAAAGTTTTTCTCAAAAATATTTTAGTCTCACTCACTACCTTTTTAACATATTTAAATAAGTATTTTATCTCATTAAAAAGTCATAAATGACACTTTATTGAATCAAATTTCTCTTTTAGGCAATAATTTTTTTGTTTCAAGTGTCAACCAAATGCTGAAAAATAAAAACAAAAACATTTTTTTTCTGTGTAAAATCAATTTATAAGAAAAATATTTTTTTTGCATAAAATATTTTACGTCGAAAAAAACGGAACCAAAGTTAATTTCTATTAATCATCAAAACTATCTAGCCCAAAGATTTACGATCCTTATTTATAAAATTATACTTACTCCCTTTATCTTTGGCCACTTTTTCATTTTGGTCTTTAAAATTTATTTTCTCACTTTGGCCTTTTTTTTTTTTTTTTTTTTTTAAAGCTAACTTCTATTCAAAATAAGACTGAAAATATCATAATAACTATCATATAACATAAAAAATATATTAGAATTTAAGTTTATGTCAAGTGTGAGTCATATATAATAAAATATTTTTATATCACATGATTGTCAATGTGTCATTTTCTGTCTAATTTTTAACAGAAATTAGATTTAGGAGTAAAGTGAGAAAAACTTAAAACATGAAGGGCCAAAATAGAAAGAAAAAAAAAATTTAAGGGTCAAAATAAAAAAGTGGCCAAACATAAAGCGGACAAAATATAATTTATCCTAATGAAAAGCATACCTAACTTTACTTAAGGAAACAACCCAATTAGGCAGTTTTTTTAAAAAAATTTGTTTTATTTCTTTATCTTTATTTTTATTTTTTTAACTAACAAGACAAACAAAGAAAATAACAAGAATTATTGAAAATGAAAATATTAAAACAAAGTATAAAAATTATTAATTTAGACTCCTACAAATATCTGATGGTCCAAAATACATTTTGGTGTCATTACTATTTTGACACGTATCTAAAATTAGAAAAATTATTGATTGGTTTAGAGGCACCACATTATGTTCGTAATTAATCACAAATTACCATGTCTTTTTTGAATCTTCAATCACTCAACACAAAATCATGAGTACCACCCCTTACTAATTACAATGCACATGAAGCACCACGTGTCGTTACCTTAGACTAACCAATGACTTCTCCTAAATCATAATAGGTAAAAGTGTACAAATACATCAAGGTGAAAGCACGTAAGCTATTCGGGAAAGATTGAGGAAGCAACAAGCATAGAGGCAGAGATTTGACCTATCTACCGTGGCCTCACTATCATTCTTGAGAAAAGCCGAACGTACATGGAAATTGAAGTGGACTGCAATGAGGCAATGCAATTAATTCAAAATGAAGTTCAACAGAATTGCTCTTTCAAATTCAAAGCACTCATTGAAGATACCAAGTTTCTACTTGGCAAGACAAATTGTGTTCTCAAGCATGTCTACCGCGAGGCTAACAGACCCACGGATGCTTTAGCAAACATTGGCGCTGAACAGATCGAAGACCCACCCAAAATACTTTAACAAGTCTGTTCCTAACGAGGCCTTAGTTGTAATGGAAGACCCACCCAAAGCATTTAGGCCCCTCCTTGTAGCAGATATGGTGGGAACTGTGTATGTATGAGAGTATATAGCCTCTTGTTTGTTTATTTCTTTGCCTGTAAAACTCTGTTTAAAGAGCAAGCAAGCTACAAGCAAACTAACCATGTACCAAGTGAATGATAACCAAAGCTTGCAAGCCCAACTTAAGCCCATGGACCCAAGTTAAGCCCAACTAAAACCATTTAAGCCGGTCCAAATGTAGAATGGGTTGTATTTGAGTTGGCTTCATTTGTCCACAATTTAAAGAGAAAAATTAAAAAATGTACACAAATAACTTACAAAATTAATTACAAACAAG